TTCAGTGCTTGACATGAGGCCAGAAAAAGAACTTAATGATCTTCAGGTAATACTAGTCAATTTAGTACAGTATTTATAGTTAACTTATGTGAATCTCAAAGATATTGTACAATACTGCAAAGACAAGATTAAATATGAACATTATTAAAGTCAATTGTGAAATTAGAACGGGATATGAGGGTATGGCTGAAAGATTCGGTTTAATGGTAAGAATGTATGGGCTTAAAGAGAAAATTAATTATCAACCGACAAACCCAGAATTAAATATTAATTATGCCATTACTGAGTTTGTTTCATGTGATATAAAATATAGAGGTAAAGAATTATCTTCACACATAAAATTTCAAACCCCCAGAGTGAATTCCACCAAAGATTGTGTAAAAATGATTTTTTTTCTTAAGACTGACATCTAAGATATAGTTGTAAAACTGATCCATGATTTTTTCGCCTTTACCAACAATAAGCCTTTTTGCTAATCACCATCTTCTGAGCTGATCACTGATCCAGATTAGTTAGATAAGGCAGAGTGGACACCCATTTAGGGGCTAGTATTCTTTCACCAGCTCTATGTTACTAGCATATCTGAGCTAAACTAGCAAGTGTAAGATGATTACTAACTATTTCAATAAAATCAGGAGACATCACAAAATTCTCAATATATATATTTCGATTTAGCTGATCTACAGCTTCTTTGCTAATTTTATAACACCTCTTCAGATCAGGATACTTTAAATTAAGACATGAACAAGCAATTTCTCTGATAATCATATTAGTAATTCCACAAAATCTAAGGACAAGTTCTTGGAGCCTTGGACAAGAACGAATAATACTAGAAATTGATGTTTTGGTAATCTCTATGCGGTGAGAAATATTTAGATATTCTAATTTACAGCATGCGTTTGCTAAAGCAAACAGGCCTTTATCAGTTATTATTCTAGCATGACTGCTTAGTACTTATCCTTTCCCAAATTGAAATACTTCAGATCTGAATATGATTTTGCTATTCGATTTAGCGCTTTATCACTATATCCTGTGCTTTTCTGAAATCCAAATGAATTATATTTGGAAATAACGCATAATATTATTGATTTTTTTATCGGAAAGTGGATGGTAATATGAAATTTCAAGATGAGTTAGATTCAAGCTATAAACTAGTTGTTTCTTTCCACATACTAATTTTATGAATTTTTTTAATTGAGGGGGGTTCTTTGCACGATAATAGCCATTTCCCTTTAAGTCGATGCATTTTCATAGAATGGGAACACCGCATCTGTACCACAATCAGAAAATAAATAGAGTGTGATAGAGGGATTTATCTATCGCTAAAAAATGTAAAATATATTCTAATAGTTCTGGTAAATAAAAGA